GGAGTTTAGGGCTGTTGTACATAGGGTCGCTATGAGTCGCAGACGACTCGATGGCACATAACAACAACAACAACAAACTATGCGTACATAGTCAAATGTTACGGAAGGGTGTACCCTATGAACAGTATACAGCTCTTTATGCTTTGGTCAGTTATAACACTCACTGTGTGGTTAGGCGACTGATATAATTTCTCTATTTTTAACAACAATAAAAATGTACACTTTGAAAAAGGAAAAAAGCTTTTCTTGAAATTAAATATAAGATCTCAGAAATAACCTAGATTTAGTAATTATTTCTATTTGAAGCCACTTAAGATAATTGTATCTTACTCTTTAGAGGCAAAAAACCCCCAAAATCCACCCTTACATATATGCTATATAACATTTTCACATAACAGAACAGGAACCAGAGGAGTTTAATTCTAGTTCCTTCTCTGCCCCTGCAGCAACCTCTTCTATTTGTGAGGACTCTGTGAAAAAGTCAAGCCAAGTATGGCACAGCAATAATTGGCCACATCAACCCAAGTGACAAAAACGAATGCCTGCGTGAAGCAGTACCAACTGTTAAGGTCTCAGCAAACCATCTGTCACATAACACAAACACAGGAATTTCACCCATCACAAGTATGTGCTCCTAAAATATTTAATATATTTGTCTCAACTGGGTTTTAGACAAATTGATGAAAATAATGTCTCAGGCATGTTGAGGAAGTAAAACAAGAAATGAAAGCATGATAAATAAGCACAAAACCAGAAATCAGGTTCTAATCATAGTCACTTACCTGATGGGGATCATATACATGGACATCAGTTTCCACAACCACCAAGTGAGGAGTTAGATTTAAACCAGGCTTTTGTCCTAACATTTGACGACTCTCCTACACTAAAATGAGTGTTGATTATATTAAACAAAATTTATATTACACTATAAAAAATCCAATAGACAAAGCATCTATTAAGGAGCATATGTGGCTTACTTTATATAATGTACACACAACCAGGCATATAGTAACGTCCTTACCTGTACAAAAACTTTCTGTAGTAGTCCTCGACGTTCTGCTAGAGGTAGCTCATTCTGTGCACCTACGACTGCCTCAGGCACATGTGGAAGGTCGAAAAACAGATATAAACATTTAACCAGGGTGGAAGGCACTGACATCGTTGTCATGCAGTCCACGGTTTTCTGGAAAACAAACCAATAAATAAGTAAATAGACAGACAGACCTAAGTGTAGTTAAAAGGCACATAATTAGGTATCTATCAGTCAGGAGACAGGATGCTCCTTAATTCTAGGTTTAGGATCTATAAAATCTTGCTAAGCATAAACTTAAGCAAACAAGGTAGGTTTGTTGCCAACAAGTGTAGCTTCTCTCAGTTTCTTCTTTACAAAATAAGATAGTACAAATGTCTTAGGGTAGATAAGAAGACTATATAAACTTAGGTCTTTACATGCTAATTCTAAAAACAAAATTTTGTTCAGATACAGAGGCACCTACAGCTACCACTAAGAGTAAAGATAATTGGGATTTTGTGTTTTTAGATGCATAAAAGTTAACCGTCTGCTTAGAAATATCTAAAGGCTAATTGTGATGACAAATTATCTTAATTTGTTGAGATTGATGAGGTTCCTGAAATGCTGGATTTTCAGTGCCCAAACAGAATGTTCTGGGCAAAGCAGGCCAAGGTAGTCACCCCAAATTCCTCTATAAATTAAAAAAAGAGCAAAAAGAAATGTAAACAGACAATTCCAAGTGGAAAACCATTCATGTGCTACTTCACATAGAGCTAGTGACTAGGGAGTTACTTAACTTTGTAGCTAATGACTAGTTTTAGAAGATGCTTACAAAGAAACATGACTTGTTTCCCCAGAGGCCAATCATTGTAGCTTGACTGGTGTCACAATCACTCTTACCAGTTTCAATATTAAATGATTTGAGGAGTTTGAAAGTCCATGGCAATTTAGATTACATATATGCCCAAGTTTTATCCTGACTTTTTACTCTAGATGTGAGGAGGTTGATTATCAAGGGTAAAAGTCAGGAATTCAAACATAACAAAGAAAGCTAATTTAAAGTAAGAGCTGTGTCAGGGAAGAAAATGTCTTCTATCCTGAAAGCATCAATGTTTTCTTATTTTCAATAAATTGGCAATTTTTCCCTCATATTTTCATCTAGATTTTTAATAAATATTTCTCATGTTATTAATTTATCTGACTCACCTCAGATCAATACTTTCTTTGAAATCAGAGCTCTCCTAATCTGGGATAAGGAAAGGTCAGACTAGTCCTGATGAAGCTAAAATTTGTGGGCTACCTTCCTCCTACCAACTAGTCAACAGTCAATTCTCTTTCCCCCAAATTCTATACAATAAAGAGAATGTGAGGTCATGCCAGACAGGAAACACTACGCTAAATCTTATGGTTTCCCACTGCGTAAAATGTATAAAACATTAGCCTCAGTGAAGTTCATGCGATGAGAAGTATAAAATAACATATAAGAAAAAAGAGAATACTACATTTACATAAAATCTTATTTGGCTAAAATAATAAAATTAATTTAACAAAAGGTCATGAACTCAACAAAATCTCACGAACGGCAAGAACTCACCTGACCAGAGGAGGCTAACAAATTAATTGTTGTTAGAAGCATCCAACCTCGACTGGCTTCCTCACTCTGATTGATTTCTAGGAACTGGACTATAGCCCGACTTGCAGCCTCTATAAAAAGAGGGATATTAGGTGGAAGAACAAGTTGCAGATACTGCATTGAAACAGATGAGGGAAAGAACAGTTTAAAAGGGATATATGATTGGATATAATGGTTACAACAAGAGTCCACAATGAAGTTTGCATAGTGGAGTGTACTCGGGGGGGGGGGGCATGGTATACCAATGAAATAATTTTTCTTTTACTTTTCAAAGACTAGAGCAAACTGGGGGTGGGGGAGGGGTGGGCAGGGAGAAAAATGCAACAATGAATGAATGGAAATCCAAAATCTCTGTAAACATTAAAATTAATTTTAAAAAATTTTAAAAAAAAATTCTTCCTCATAATTTACTAAAAGGTCATCAGTTATTAAGCACATACTTGATACCAGCGATATCATATGCACAAATGGAGAATGAGTTAAAATAGCAGTATTTTAGTGTTATATATGCAAGCTATTACAAAGTATCTATTTCTCTATTTTAAGGTAAGACAGCTCAAGAAGGAATCAAAAAGAGGCAGAGAGGAAATGAAATTTGCACTAAGTCTAGAAAATAAGTATATAGTGGTCCAAGAGGTAGGAAAGACAAATAGATACAGAGAAAGCAGAAGCACAATATTAAAACTAAACCAATAAAGCGTCACCATTACACACATATCAAAACAAAGAATGCAATAACACTGGCTTAACTGGAAAGAATACAAGCTGAGAGTTAGAATTTAATCAATAGTAGTGACACAAATCATCAAACACTAACTCTCGCTGCTGCTGAGTCAGAACGGACTCAGCTGATCCTCCAGCAGGTTTTCTAAGGCTGTAAATCACAGGAGAGGAGTCTGTGAATTTTAACCACCACTGAGGGGTCATCTTCTGATTATCAGCACAACTCCCTAAGGACCCCGACAGCAGAGTTCCCTTAGAGAAATTACAGAAGTCGGATGGCATACTGGGTAGGGAATTGTGCTGCTATCCCAAAGGTCACACCTCTCTGGCAGTTCGAATCCACCAACTGCTCATGGGAGAAAGATGGGCAATGTCTTCCACTGCAACTTAGAGCTTCAGAAAACGAGCTGGAGGGCCACCAGTGAGTCAGCTCTGACTCCTTGACAATGAGGTTGAGTTTAATTATGACAAACGAACTCTGGTGCCAACCATAAGGCCATGAAAGTTTGAGTCACCAACTTGAGTCAGTTTTTGAGAATCATGAAGGAGGGTAAACTAAAGATCGTATTTGACTCTTTGAGGAAGATGGTGCTAGAGTCGTTTCCTGAGCATGCACTTTTAAAAAAGGGATTATTCACAGATTTTTAATCAAGTAGCAATGTGAAAAACAAACTGAAATGACAAGAGATTGGAGGGAGGGAAATAAATTAGGAGACGAGGTGACAGCCTCTGGTAGTAGGAACTAAAAACCATAAGACATACATGAGAGTATTCATAGAACTGCAAAGCTGAAAAATCTTCAAATGTAATTTGGCTGACAACATTTTTAAAGATAAGGTAAAATATACATGCAATTGTAGCAATAAAGTATAGGTAATTTCTTACATTAATACTTGGTGAACTAAAATTGTCAGAAAAGAAATCCAATCCATTCACTCTTAACTAAAACTGGTTAAGTTTCTAAAAAGCATATCCAAACCTCAAACTCATTCCAGTGGAGTTGAAACCAACACATACACAGCTGATTGGGAGGTTGTAAACACGGCTGATTTGGAAGTTGTAAAGTGCATTGGAGGAAACTGTCCATCCTCCTCTTGTGCCGTAACTGCTGGCTTAAAGCAGCGGGCATTGTGGTTGGCAGCACAGCTCCATACCACTAGGTACAATTCAATAGGAAATGACCTGCCCTCCACTGAAAAGGCCAGCTTTTGCTTAGCCCTAACAATGCCATTTTATGTATTTTAGAGGGTCCAGGTTTGTTGATCATATAGTTGCTATGAGTTTTTCTCAACTCAATGTCACCTAACAACAAAAACAACCATGTACTAAATGCCTATCAAACTAAATAAATAATTAGAAATTGAAATAATAAGTAATTTGGCTGTAATCATGTCGTTTGCCAGTGGGAGAAAAACATATTCAAGTCTAGTCTTGAAACTCCAAAACTCATGCTCTTCATCAACATGCATATACACAACAAGGAGAGTAACAACAACAGTAATAAAAACTTACAAAGAAAGAGTAAAGTGTAAGAAGCAGATAGTCTTATGTCTAATGGGAATAATTTCTAATCGGATTAACGGAGACTTACTCCCTAATAGTATCTCATAAATGTTTACTGATCTACAGTCTCCCTATATAGGATAGCAAACTCCTCATGTATGCTCTTCACTACAGAATTATCTGGCACCAAGTGAGCACTTGATAAATAGCTGTTAAACTGGTGAATAAATCAACTTAGCCAGATTAAAGGAATGACAGCAACAGAATGACAAACTGAATTCAACTTTATATGAACATCAAGTGGCCTGGACTAAGTACAGGTTAAGAGAGAGCACTGAAAGTTTTGAAAAAGAGAGTAAGACAAAGAAGGTAGTATTTAGTACTGATTAAATTATAAAGCTCACATTAGAAAAAAAAAAGATAAAAAGATAATCTTGAGAGACCTACTTTAGCAAAAGTTATTTGAGATTATTGGTTTTTAAAAAAAACCTCAAAACCCCACAATTATTTTTTTCCCCTTGAAATGGAGCTGGCAGTTTATCAAAGAGTATCTAAAACCCCCCTTTTTTCCCTAATAGGTGTTACATACAAAGTTAGGTAAGCAAGCATGTTCTTCAAATAGGGAGTTGGGGGGGGGGTGTGTGTGTGTGAAAGTTTCAAAAAGTAAACACTCTTTAGAGTCAAGTCAGAACAAAGTTAACTTCCTCATATAATAGTGAGAAATCCTTTTCAAATTAATTTGAACTCTACATATGTCAGTCTAGAGACTAAGGTGCGATCATAATCAGCATCAGAGAGCTGGATAATGACTAAGAAGAATTGATGTCTTTAAGTTGTGGTGCTGGAGAAGACTCTTGAACATACCATAAACTGCCAAGAAAACAAACTGGTCTGTCTTGGAGAGAATGAAACCAAGTTTATCCTAGGAGGTTAGGATTTTGAAGCTCCATCTCATACTTTGGGCCATGTGGCCAGGAGGGATTGGTCCTTAGAGAAGGACATCATGCTCAGAAAGGTGGAGGGACAGCACAGGAGAGGAAGACCCCGAAGGAGATGGATTGATACAATAACTAGAGCAACGCGGATGTGTCAGAATTAGTGAGGTTGGCTCAGAGCTATTGTACATAGTGTCGCTATGAGTCGCAGGAGACTCAATGGCACATAACAACTACATACATTAGATTTATTAACTTTACAAAGAACTCCTTATTTAAAACATAATAAAGGTAGGATGTTCAAATCCAACAGCCATTCCAACAAAGAAGAATGAACAGTCTTCACTTGTTAGGATTTACAGTCTTGGAAAGTTGATAGAAGGTCCCCACAAGTTGGAATCGGCTCAAAGGTAGTGTGACTGGTTTGCAAATTTTTTTCTGGATTTGTTTTTGCTTATTCACTTTAAAAGAAAACTATGCAGGTACATATTTTCACTGTTAATTGGGTAAGTTTTCAGATTTCAAAAACTACAAAAAAAAATGTGTCATTTGAGAACTAAGCCCCCAAATGACCTTTTTGAGCATTAAACAGTTGTATTGACCTGATGATTGCATGCATTTATTGCATGTATTTTCTTATGTTTTGGTTGATAGGAACACCTCAAGATAATAAACCATAAAAAAAAGGTAATAAATCTCAAATGATAGGTAAAAAAGTTAATTTTCTTTTTGTTACTAAAAATTATATATGCTTATAGTGTTATTGTGCTGGCCCAATAGAATAAATGTGACAATATACTGAAAAGAGCAAAAGTAGTAAAAATTATTAAGTTTGATTACCTACTCAACAAGTGGAATATTTACCTTAATTAATAATCTGAATATTATAGTCTACCAGTTTAACGATAAAGAATATTCTTTTTGAGAAGACAGAAGTTGTGTCATCAGTAATATAAAGGTACCTGACTTTGATGCACAGGCACAGTCAGATAATGAGGTCCGGAGAGATAGTATTAGCTCAATGACGTCGGGCAAGTTTCACGCTTCTACTGACAGACAGAACACACTCTACTGACATAATATGGTTCCAGAAGAACTACTTTACTTTCACCTATTGAGTTCAAATAGATTATGGAGAGAACTCAAGGGGACTTGCTATTTTTTGGTTAAAATAAGTACAGAATCTAATTTTAAAAATACACATACCATTAGGAGTTTTCCTTAGAAATTGGATTTACTAATTAAATACAACTTTCATAAAGGGTCTTAAAATTTTGAAAGGCAAAGACACTTCTAGTTAAATTTTTTTTAAATTTGCACTGAGTTCTTTCAATTTCACTACTATTTAACAAACAAGTGTAAGCAATGATCTAGCTTAAGTTTATGACAGTTAATGAATGCAATGTATTCTATTAATCCATCTTGAGAGCTGTCAATCATTTATTGAGTTAAAATTTGAGTTTTCACACTGCATTTCAATACAAAGACTGAAAAAAATACAAAGTTAGTAAAGCTTGTTATTAAATAAAAAATGTAATTCATCTTAAAACAATGTCATTCTCCAGTTTATGCTGGAAATTTAAGTCAATTTTCCAAATAATAAGCATAAGCAACATTCAAATAATCAGAAGCAAAACCATGTTAATGAGTAAAATACAACAATGTTTCCTTGGGGAAGTTAATTTATAGCAAACTTCATTTTCAGAATTTAGGCTTTTGCATGATACCAATAAAACATCAAACGCTACTCTGTTTTCAACAACAACAAAAAAGTTAGTAAGGAAAAAAACTCTTAGAACTCATAGTTTCCATGCTTCTTTTCATCTGATAATACATAACCACACCTTGGGAATGAAATTACCTGAAGGTGTTGTAGCTTTGAAATCCTTGGAGGGCAGCTGTACACACTG